AAAATAAAGTGTCGTATTAGTTATTTTATACAACACGACTTGAAAAAGTGTCATATGAGCATAGGTGTCCTATAAATAGATGAGTTTACGGGACACTTCTCAAAATGTTTCCATAAAATAACTAATACGACGTTTTATTTAAAGATCATTCTAAAACACTTGTTGAAACGTCCAAAAACGTCTATAAACCTATTGTTACGTTTTTAGATAGGACGCTTTATAGTATGGTTTATAAACATAAGTTTTATGAATTATTTCATTCGTGAAATTATGTAACTACTAACCCGCCAACCCAACCCACCCCGCCTCAACCCGCAAGGGTTGGGTTGGGCTGGATTATACTTTTGAATGAGTTGGATTGGGTTGAGATTTTCCAAACCGCCATAATTAAGTTGGGTTGTAAAATTGTTATAAACCGCCCAACCCAACCCGCGTTCACCCCTACCAATTTGGACACCATTAATGTAAGAATGGTGGTTCATATGAAGTCGGCACTTATCTAGTTTAAAGCATTTGAGGGTATATATGTCATTTAAGATATAAAGTTTGTGTGACGTCGGATTTAGCAAGATATATAAAATAATTTTGATTTGGCTAGTATTTAAAATTTTGTGATTGTTTGACCTTCCCAAAATAGAAAAATGAGTATTTTGTCACAAAAACTAAATTTTATTCCATTTTACTAAATTGGGTCTTTTGGAACGTTTTGCACGAATTTTAATTTATATGATGTTACAAAATTTAAAATAAGGGTATATATATCTATACTACCTTATAAAGTATATTTGATAAAAAAATTAAAAACAACCTTAAATGCATAAGGTACTACTTCTTTATACATCAAATCTTAAAAACAACCTTAAATACATAAGGTACTGCTTCTTTATACATAAAATCTTAATTACAAGTCATTTATGTAGATGGTACGACTTAACAATGTTTCAGCTTTTACAACTCATGCTTTTAAGTTTTATCTTTCTCATATTTAGTTTTGGTTCCCAATAAAGATTGAAAATTTAAACCATCTACCCCTTTCAAATTTTGACCTTTTATGTTCCTAAGAGTTTTTGATTTTCATCTTACCATCAAAAACTCTCTTATCATTTTCAAATTTCAAATGTAAACCTCAGATTTTCATAATTCATGATTGATTTTTCCCAATCACCTCCATCTTCCCAACTACATTATTCCTCGCCTCCGCCGTTCCTCAACGTCTCTCCTCTGGTCGCATCGACACCCTTACAACTTCCACACGTTTTTTTTATACTTTTATAAAGATCTTCATTTGACTTTCCATTTTATTACTAGGGTTTGAGCAAACTGCTTATTTTAAAGGTTGACATTTCGGAGCTCCGGATCTACATTTACAATATTTGTATACATTAACAAACCCATTTGCTTTTAAGGGTTTATTTTATTCAATATATTCGAGATGGGTTGTGATTCGGGTCGTGTATCTTGCTCCACCGCTCCAATCCTTGTCAAATGCTTGTATCTTGCTCCACCGCTCCAATCCTTGGCAAATGCTTGTATCTTGCTCCACCGCTTCAGTCATTCGGGTTGTGATCAAGGGTTTATGAATAATTATAGAACCAACTTACATCAACATTTTGGATGGATGTATATTTGAATCTAAATTAGATACAAATGTAGTAGGTTTTGTACATCTTTAAGGAATTTGATATTTCAAAATTGAATAATCTTAATGAGCTTTTTACATCTTGCTGTATTGCGTAGGTAGACAACTAGAATGGGAAAGAAGAAGGGGAAGGGGATTTTCTATGAAATGAATAGTTAGTGAAATTTTCTTCAGCCTCACTAAAAAAGAGTTTATTTGTGTGAGATAAGGTGTTTATCGGTTGAAATACAATGGATTTAGGCAAATCCGATTTGATCCAATCATTCGTTGGATGTTTGATTTTGTCATTCCATCAAATCTAACTAACATCAAACTTCCGATCCAGTGCAATCCAATGGATGATTGGATCAGATCGCTTCCATCCATTGGATATTATTATTATTATTTATCCATTAGATCAGATTAAATTCATCCGATATTTTGAACCAGTTTTCAACAATTTATTCATATATTTTCATATTTTCTAAATACTTAAATATTATTTACTGGATGAAAATAGTCGGCCTTAGTGATCCGTCGGTGCCGAATGGAAGGAGCGCGCCCCTAATAATTGCGTCGTTATGCTTGGGCTGTGAGGGTTCGATTAAGTTATTAATAGATAATGCATATAAATATCAATTAAAAAATAATATTATAAAATGTTAATAATTATATATTGTTATTAATTCTATGGTAGTTGGATGATAATCGAAGGAGAATTAGATGGTCATCAGATTGGATCGTTTTAGTTTTATTAGATGTTTTACTGCTACGCGAAGAAACAACATGGGTACCTAATAAAGAGGTAAAAAAGTTGCACAACTATAAAGATTTTAATCAATATTACACAATTTTAATTCGAATAACACGTTCCAATCATGAAAATCGTCATGACATTTTTAGATATTGATGATGAAACATATATATACTCAATGTTATTGAGCATTAAGCCAGCAGCAATAACATTGGGTATATGTTATTGAAGTTTGCAACGATTAAAAAAATTATAAGTGTATTTTTATGCAAAAAAAAAAAAAACATTTTTACAAGAAAAAGCTTTAAACAAAAATTCCAATTTTTCTGTTTGCCTAAAAATTTCAATTTAGTAAAAAATAATACATTTTACACTATTATATAATTAGTTATTTAATTGACTTTATATTCCTAGCTTTTCATTTTTCATTTTACATCTTTATTATATTAACACACATAATTGTAAATTAACTAAAATAGATGGAAAAAACACGTTTCTTTTTTACAAATTACATCATTATAATCATATTGTTAATACGTTTAAAATGAGTCCAATATTAAATATTTTTCGATTTAATCTTATATGAAGCTTTGGCTCATCATCTCTCTTGTGACTTCTCGTTCTAATAGTAATATTTTTTTTGAAAGGAAAACCTATTTATTAAAACACGAAGAGAAAACAAAAGAGCTTTTACAAGCCATAGAACCAACAAAAAAAACAAGCTAGAGAAAGGCAAAATCTAGCAACCTAACAAGAAAGAACTACAACAAGGCAACAACTACGAAAAACCGAAACCAAGAAACAAAACATCAGTAGGCTCGAAACTCTTGTCACAACAGATGATGCCAAAAATGGCTCCATTTGTCACAGGGCCGTGAAAGGAAACCTTTTTAAATTATTCTGGAAATCTAGTTGTAAACTCTTGTTTGATTACTTGAAAATAGAAGATCTGAAGGTGAATATTTACCCCGAATAACCTCTACGATAAATCTTATTCAGTTAGATATGGTAGATTCAAATGATATACAAAAAGAGTTAACTGCCGGGCCACTATGAATTTCATAAATGAAGTAGTTAATGGTGGGGTTATCATTATTCTTTTTGTAGTGACAAATCCTTTATGTGTTCCTAAGAAAAGAAATTTGTCCATTTTTCGGGGTCTAAGTTCCTATTAGTATCCATGATACAAGTCGGATCCTAGATGTAGAAATATAATATAAGAAGGTGGATCTCTTCTTAGATACTTGATTATGATATTCCCATATAAAGTATGCTGCAGACCAAAGAGTAGCTTGCAAAATATATCCACCAAATTTAAAACTTCTTTTAATGAATTCGATCCCGATACTGCCTTCAGTCTTCCACCATTGAACAAGGGAGGACCATACTTTTTAGGCTATTCTACACTTTGTAAGACAGTGATATATGGTCTCTTGTTCTTCACAAAACGGACATAATACGCACTCCAGATCAGTCCCTCGTCTGTCCATATTTCTCTTAACTGGCTGATCGTCTTTGAGAACCCGCCACACAAAAAAGTTTACCTTCTGAGGTGCCAAATAGTTTCAACAGGTTGAGAAGGCGGATTACTCGTCAGTAGGAAGATACTTGAACTCGATAGCAGTCCTCAATTTTTTTATCGAGAACTCTCCATTGGCATCCATCTTCCACCACCATTCATCCCTGTGTTCACTAACAAGATGGAAATTTTGAATTAAATTAATCAAATCAGAAAATTTATCCTCAACTCGACCCCTCGGATTACGGGTCCAGTCCCACACCCAAATCCAATTATTGTCTACCTAACAACCCCCGATATGTTTGGATCTTTATGAAGTCTAAAAGACACGGAAAGCGTCACATAGGTGACCACATTCTACCCAATTGTCATGCCAAAAATGAATCGACGACCCATCCCCAAGCTTTGTATTGAAAGACGACAGAAATTGAACATCACTAGACTCTAAAATCTGTCCCAAAGAAACTATATTCCCCCAAATGCCTCCCTTATATTTGGATGGGATAACGTCATCTCGTCCTAACCCCCCATCTCTACCGTATAAACTCGGAATGATTTGTTGATGTAGCTTTTCTAAAATGCACATAATATATTTTTTTAATTAATAAATATGCTACATCAAACTAATGTAACTGGTTACCTATTAAACCGGTCAATGACATTCTTAAATATATAAAAAAGTTTGTTTTATATCTTAAAATGATGATTTCAAAAGTTGGTTTTCAAAAATAAAAATATATTAAATTTGTTTTATTTCGATACAATTTTCCTATAATGTGAATTAAAAGGCCATGCCATTAGAAAATTAAATACATTTTTGTGGTGATGTAGGTTTAATAGTTGACATGAAAAAGCAAAAGGATTTTCATGGATTGGAATTAGAATTTTTTCAAGGTATTAAATTGTATGGTTCTTAACGTTAACAGTATCAGAAGGTCCTAGGTTTAAATACAAGAAAAAATAAAAATCCTTTTGTGACCATTGAGGTTCAAATGCGGTGACTCCGGACTATCTGCAAAGTAAGTGATCGCCCTGAGATTAATCAGCTCGAATAGCGGGTTGGATATCCAGGTTAATAAAAAAAACAATTGATGGTTTAAAACAAGAAGAATCGAACAGATGCAAATTGATTTAAAAAAAATTCTAAGAATCGATCAAACGTTGATCACTTAAAAATCGATTATTTAAACTTTAATAGCAGATGAATGGATGCAAGAAAGATGAAAACGTAGATTCAATTTGGGAGATCGTTCCAATTTCTTTGACGTCCTGGCTACGACATCTGCACCAAAACTATAGATCCAGTTGGCAAGTAATATATTAAAACCAAACATAAAAGTTTATATCATGTACACGTATTATATTAAAGGTTTTACAAACTAAAACAACAAAAATGTCTTATAAAAACAATCACTTAAATGAAATCATTTTCCATACATTCTTCAATAATCAGAACCGATAATTGCTAAATCAGTTAAAAAAAAATTAAACCTAAAACATTTTTAAAAGGATAGATGCCCAAACACATGTAATTGCATCCAAATTAAACTTATAAGACCCTGTTCCTAATCATATATTTAGCACAGCCTGTTTAATGTAATCATATCTTACAATATTGACCAGGTCAAAGTCAAATCGTCACTTCTAGTCCTAACTCCTCCCTATGTGTCCAACTTTGGCCTTCAAACAGAAAATCAAAACTCACTTGGTTAATTAATGAACGTTACCAAATACATATATACAACGTGGCATACATTACCATCGCCAACACATACCCTCTCAAATGGATGGACATTTATATGTTTACAAATCAAAGCCTACCACTCTCTCCCTCTATATATAATCCACACTCTTCTTCACTTCATTTCACTTCTGCTTTCTTAATTACCCTACCACTTTACTGTTAATTAACCACCAATGGCTTCCTCCATTGACATTGCGGAGATCAGAAAAGCACAACGGGCACAAGGTCCAGCCACCATTCTTGCCATCGGCACTGCAACTCCTTCCAACTGTATCTATCAAGCAGATTATCCGGATTACTATTTTCGGATCACCAACAGCGAACACATGGTTGATCTCAAAGAGAAATTCAAGCGCATGTGTATGTTTTCACTCACTCTTGCCTACTATACGTACCTCGTTACATACAAACATATTTATCATTTTAATTTGAGGTGTTACTTTCGATTAAATTGTATCAAAGTTAGTTTAACTATCATCATCATCATTATTATAACTGAAAATAAATCAACCCAATGGTAGGGTTTTGTTTATACTTACATGCATGAAATTTGCAGGTGACAAGTCTATGATCAGAAAGCGATACATGCACATCACGGAGGAGTTTCTGAAAGAGAACCCCAACATGTGCGAATACATGGCTCCATCCCTTGACGCTCGCCAGGATGTGGTGGTCGTTGAAGTCCCCAAGCTTGGCAAAGAAGCCGCCACAAAAGCCATCAAAGAATGGGGCAACGCCAAATCCAAGATCACTCATCTCATCGTCTGCACCACCTCCGGTGTCGACATGCCTGGTGCCGACTACCAGATCACCAAGCTCCTCGGCCTCCGCCCCTCTGTAAAACGTTTCATGATGTACCAACAAGGGTGTTTCGCYGGAGGCACGGTTCTACGTCTCGCCAAGGACATCGCGGAGAACAACAAGGGTTCTCGCGTTCTTGTGGTTTGCTCTGAGATTACAGCGGTCACCTTTCGTGGCCCTAACGACACCCACCTTGATTCCCTCGTGGGTCAAGCTTTGTTTGGTGACGG